TGAGCATCACAACAGAAGCCAAAGGGTAATAAACATTATATCTGCATTACCTGAGCATCTTTGGCCTTCGTCCACCACGGTTTTGATTTTGCCTGTCAGATCAGTCAGCAATATCTTGAGCTGCTCAGCCACGGCCTCACGATAATCTGCATTAGAAAGTTGAAAAATCCCTTTTTAGATTTTTCAAAAATTTAAAACTTTATTCTCTGCATAAAAAATGAGCGTAACAAACCAAAGGCTTTCTGCTGTTGAGGCGAAAACCCACCAAAAACGATTGCTCTCGGGATTCAGCAGTCTCACTACAAATGATTCATTCCCGGTTCATCGAATCCTTGTCAACTTGATCTCGAGTAGATAAAACCTGGAAATTTATTTGAGACGTAGGTGACCTAGCATTGGTTTGCCCTAAATAGCCTTTTCAGATCCGTTAGAGTCCCTTCAGAGTATTCAGGCGATGAAAACCAAAGTCCATACAACTGTGTAAACTTTTGAGTATATGCAGACCATATGAAAACCTAGGGTTTATACTGTTGATGACAGTTAGAACGTAATTCAATTAAGTTTTCTTTTCATTGAGTATCCTAAAACGCTTTTTACTCTGTGGACTTTACCTCAAAAGTTGAAAAAATGGCTGAGTAAGTTGTGAATACCATGTAGAGACGTAATAACGTAGATAAGCGGTGAACCAAACCTCAAAGTGTTCAATGTCTGTATCACCTTACATGAGGAGTACTTTGCCAAAAAAGCAGCAATTTGAATGGACAGAATACCTTATTCACAGGGCTACTCAAAAGTCTTGGGCAGCCCACGGACGGTTTCGTCCTTCGTGGGGCTCATCAGGTAGAGTTTCCTTCAAACATATTTTCCACTTGATTTCCGAATTGCACGAAATTCGACGTGTACACTCATCCGCACACTAATTTGGTTTTGACGAAAGACTCACCTAAAAATCAGCCAATTTTTTTTCATTTAACATATTTTTATTCAACCAAACATGCTGTACCCAGATACTTCATGTTTCAGTTGTGAGAAGAGCCCAGAGAAGGGCAAAACCGGCAGTGTATTACTCCTCTACGTACCAAATGAAGCATCAAGCGGCCTGGTGAAACACACTCCCTTGAGTAGGAACATCACAGATTCAGATGACTGTTGGACTTCGCCTCTTACAAATGGTATGCGCAGCCAAACAACTTGGCATCTATTCCGATCTTTTAGTCTCTTACGTTCGCACCGTCTTACATCCCATGTGGTCATATGCTAGACAGATAATTGACGAAATCATTGTGCGTAAAACTGCCTGTAAGATTACAGAAATCCGGAATAATACTTCGCGGTGTGAACCGATTTGCATGTTGGATAACTTTTCAATGCAAGATTATCAGATTTGTATACCCAAGATACTTATTTTATAGACGGAGACACCTACCTTTAGTTTCTTCCAGGGTGGCTGCAATCTTCACGTAGAGCTTAAATGCTTCCTCTAGCAATCCAAAAGCGGTGATAAGTTCCTCGTTCTTCCTCGGTACCACAGGAACGTCTGCCTCTGAATTAGGACGCAAAAAATAATAATAATAATAATGGTGATTTGTCACCTATATAAATCTCACACAAAGATTTTCGTGGACAAATGATTAGGTTCTAAGGGTGAGAGTGAGAGTGAAGGAGTGTCCAAAGTGGCTGGATACAAGTTGGGTAGCAGGCAAGTTTTCCGCGATCGCTAACAATGTGAATACCCGGACAAAGCCCACAATTTCCACGAAAGAACTCCACGTCTAATTGACAGCTAGAGATAACCCAATAGAGCTTTGTACTCTATCAGAACTCGCAGCCCAAGGCGTGATAGAACCAATAACGTTGATCCATTCCTCTCGCGAAATTGCAACGCACATGGGCGACCTCAGTTTTGGGTTGGTTTTAACTGAACAAGAAAACTCATAATCTTGAGCTTTATCGTACTCTAAGATAAAAATTATTGTATATTAAAGGGACCAACCGAAGCCGCCAAATAATATATATAATGTAGAACCATAGGTTTCAGTTGTGTCTTAATGAACTGGAGTTGCTTGCATACCCGAAAAATAAGCTAATGAGAAAACAGTTTTGCGTCCAAGACTGTAAGACGTAAATTCGGACGCCGAAGTAATTATCCTTGGTACTGGTCCCCAGTTGCCTTGAAGGTGTATGAGGTCTAAATACTTCATCAATGAAAGGTCGTCAATTGCTCAGTCACGTGAAAAATACTTGGAACCGATTGGGTAGTCTCTAGGGGCTGCCAAAAATCCACAAGGCAGGCCAATAGTGACTCGCCACCACATGAACTGCCTAGATTCTCAGCCGGTATACTAATACCGCTCACGGGGAAATCAATCACCTTCATTAGGAATCCGTACGACTTTGCCAGCTAGGCCGCAGGGCTTCCTTAGGAAATGGACAAAGTCCTCGTGATTTTTGACGTAATTCCAGTGTGCACAAACATCCCTAGGGCAGATGCTCTGGAAGTAACTAAGAGGTTGTTACTGGCAGACACGACGCTCGGGGAACGGCACAGCTCTCGGTGGATGAAATAGTTGAGGGCATAAGAGTGTGTTTGAATCTTGATCAGTTTGTTTTTGACACAACTGTTTACTCACAAGAACAAGGTCTTGCAATGGGATCTCCAATATCCCAAGTTTTAGCTAATATTTACATGGAGGACTTTGAACAAATAGCCTTGACCGGATATCATTGTCCATACAAAGTTTTTTGGCGTTAAGTTGACGACACCTTTGTTGTGATCAAACGAGATAACGTGAACAACTTCCATGATTATCTGAATGGTTTAAACCCACACATTAAATTTAGCATAGAAATAGAGTCCACCTAGGGCACATTATCCTTTCTGGACTGTATAACACGTAAGGTTGGTGGGAAACTGAAAACAACTATCTACCAAAAACCAACAGACACAGGAACCGTCTTAAGCTATTCATCAGCACACCCAAAGTCCATGTACGCCAGTATTGTCTCATCGATATTTCGTCGAGTTAGAGCGCTGTGCACAAAAGAGATCGACCGGATGGCAGCTCAAATCGAGATCGCCAGCAAACTGCAAGACATAGGATACCCAGCGAGTTTAATTAAGCGTCAACTAAGAAAGATCTTGGCTCCAGTATCTAGACCCAGTAAGGAATGGGTTGGCACAGCAATCATTCCAAATAAGACAGGAGCGTCTCAGGTTAATCGAAGACTGTTGAACTTAGCCAACATTCGAGTAACTTTTCAGAAGGGAAAAAGGCTACGCTTAGTTTTGGCGCAATTGAAAGTTCCCCTGTCGCTTGAAAAGATTAGGGACTATGTGTATAAAATTAATTGCAACGATTGCACTAATGTTTACATAGGACAAACTGCCAGGGAATTGCACACCAGAATTCGTGAGCATAAAATAAGGATTAGCAAACCACCGAGGAATGCAGAAGAATACCAAACGCTGGTCAAAGACTGAGCGATGGCGGTACATGTCTTGGATATGGGACATAGAACGGATCTGGAGAATGTGGAAGTTTTAAGACGGGGACTGCGATCCACACCACAGCGGCTGATAGTCGAGCCGGTGGAAATTACTAAGCATCGCAGCGTGAATAGAATCGAGGGTGTGAAACTGGCGAGCGCATGGAAACCTGTCTTATATAAACCGAGTTGACATGTGACGACGGGGTTGTCAACCCACTTCGGATCACTAGAAAAAACCGCGGGGTGGGGGTGGAATTCCCCAACTCGACCAAAAGTCATAGCATCCCTCTTACACAACTATCTTAGCACTAACTCACCCACACAGACGGACATAAGGTTTGAACGACGTTCAAGAACCGAACCAGAAGAACTAGACCCCGGGCTGAACTCAAACACACGTAGGTTTCCCCACCGACCCAACACTTGTTCAACCACCCTAACACATTAAAAATCCCTCGGCCGACACCCAACAGAGATTTAGCTTGACTTAGCTGATTGGTTCTCCTTCTGCGTTGAATCTCAACCAAACTCGGAACCTGGTCACTTGGCCTGACAAAGCTTTTGTGGCAAAAGCGAAACGTCGCCCAGCAATAAATCTACCGATTGTCACCAAACTTTTCGAAAACGTAGTCAACTGCTCTTCAAGTCACTTAAATAGTTGGCTTTCATTTTGTCACTAAAAGCTTTTGGGCCAGACGACTTGCAGCCCTGATACCAGCTTGACTGCAAATCGATGAGGCTTACTGAAAAGTCAGGTATGACTCCAAAACTAAAATAGAGGATAGTCGATAACGTGGCCTTCTGAAACTCCGAGAAGAAGGGCCAAAAGATGGACGAGACTACCGGAAGTTAACACTAGCAACAGGTTCGAATATTGATCGCTCAGCTGAGTTTGTTAGTAGTAATAAACCAAACACACTTAAAATGTTTTCTTACAAGGTGACTTGCTTGGTGAATAAAACTGCCGTCTGATCAATCGTCAAGAACGTTAGCATGAACAACTCTCCCTTCAACGTAGAAAATCAACGATCGTCCTCTAGCTATGTCCACTTTTCTTCCACGTTTACTTCCTACATTGGATATTTTTGTCATCTATCCACAGTCCGAGATGTAAAAACCTCGGAAGGATTAGTGCAAGCAAACACAAAGAAAACAAGTCTTTCAAATGATATTATAGATGTACGGTAGTGAAACATCAGTGCTGAACACTGATATCGTGCTGTCAATGATGATGAGTTTGAGTAGGCTTTCATATGTCATCTAAATTTCGCAGAAACCTCTAAAAAATTGGTGCAAATCCTCTCTCCGTAAAACATCAAATCCTGATTTATTTATTCTTCCTTTCTTTGTTCAAACTGACTTTTGTTCTATTCGATGAAGTACCGTAGGCCGCCATTTTACTGAAGAAAACCCACAGTCGCTTGCTTCCATAACCTTCATTACGGACTCTAGAGATGTACTTTTAACTCAAAGAATGTAAAGCCTGATTTACAGTCAGATGCCTGAACATAACTGTATCCTCAGGTTGATTTCACGTTGGTTTTATTAAATATTTGCGACTGTGAATAAATTCAGTTTGAGGTGAACAAGGTGAATAAACTTTAACCGGTGTAACTGCCGGATTTGGGAATAATCAGCCAAATGACTTTTATTCAATAGGCAGGCAACAGATTGAAAGCACTCGATTAAGTGATATGCAAAAACAAAGAACAAGAATTATACCAAACACAATGGGCATCGTTTACTCAGTTACTCACTTATGCATTTGCTGTCCGTAATCAGCTCGGTTACAGCCAAAACCGAACCCATTTTTTGACTGACGTATTCCGTCAGATTCGCGTTATACTTGGTGTATTCTTCTGTGCAAAGAAAGAAAAACAAATGTTAATAATCCAACCAAACTTTGCTAATCACGTGACGATTTGCTTGCGACTTAAGTAAGCAAAATGGAATAATGGCTAGACTTTAGGTTTTCATCCACCAAGCTGCTAACAAGCACAACAAAAATATTCAATTTTTTTAGGAAAATACTTTCTTTAAATCCAAGAAGCATAGAAAACTAACTAATAAGCTCAGCACAGTATCAGCAAGAATCCATGTGGCAGTAGTAAAGAGGGACTTATTTAACTCTTATTGTAGACTGATCCTACACAAACCTCCTAGCCCATATAGTTGTTTAAATCACCGTGAAACAGAGTGTCGGTTCACATTCTTCTTCTAAAATGTAGTGGCACCTTTTCTCCTCGCTGTGTAAGCCAATGAATGCGACATCAATAGGACGGATCAAATGATTCCGTTTAGTCAGGCAGTTACTCCTCACGAAGTAACTTTTCCTAGGAACAACACCCGTTTGGCACCAACTGAGTTTTAACGGGGATTTCGTAACTTTTGTACAATCTGGATTCAACTAAAACATAACGTTTATTCCAAGAAAAACCAACTGGCCAACCACCTAATGCAAAAGTCGATTTCGGAAAGATCGACACGAATTACCATATCACTAATGACCGCGGTTTTCAATCACCTGAACTGAATCAATGTCTTAAGGAGTACTGTTAGTTTCCGCAGTTATGAAACGGCCTGAGATTTTAAGACCGTGCCCGCTCATTTGAGCACAGTCAACCGGAGTTTCTGTATCAGACGAGGATTAGTGTTGCTTCTAGTAGTTAAACAGGCAAAGCACTCAATGACAGACATGTCTGTGAATTACTTTATTTTGATATTACGCATGATTTATCTACCTGGAGTTTATGCACTTTCAACTGACAGTATAGCCAGGACTAACTAGACCTGAGTAACTCTTTGTTCTAGAATGTTCACAGTCGGTCACCAGCTGAAGGCATCTCATGGAACTTCGGGGGGGTGGGAGTGAATGTAACCACCAACTGAGAAGCCGTGGTTCGAGGATTCGGTCAACGCGTATAGCCACGTGATGTGGATCCCGTGAAACTGGGATGAGCAGCGATTATCCTATTTAGGTGAAACTTAATCGCACTGCTAACCAGTCACCTGTGGCCGAACAGTTAGATGTTCAAAGTACCAGCAGCGAGGTTGACGCTTCGAGACTGCGTGGAGTTCCGCGAGATTCACACTGCTGCTGCTTCTCAGTGAGGCTGAAACAGCAATACAGTGCCTCTCGGATTTCCAGCACAGGAATAAATCTTCTCCAAACCTTTTCCCTTTATGATTTAAAGGAGAAACATCGCAAAGTATCCGGTTTACAGACATAGTGAATAAATTTAATTTTTGAAAAACTGGTAGAGATTACTCAGGACAGAGTCACCTTATCCCGCAACCAGCAGAAGATGAAGGACACTAAACAGCTCATTAGATAGCCATGTGTGTTTGGTTAAAATACGACTTCCGAGGGCGTGACTAGCAGGCCGACCATCTGTCCGAGGTAGACTCCCCACTGAGGACATCATTCAGTGTCGACCGACAAACTAACTGCTATTATTTTGTACTACGAATGCACACATATATTTTTCAACGCCGAGTGTACTGCGCCGGATGAACAACTAAATGCTTGTCCCAGAGAACCAGGCGGGACTAATCAGTTTGCCGTAGAACTCGTAATATGCAATACCGAAACACAGGACGGAACCAATTTGGAGGAGTTATTCAACGCAATATTTTCGGTATCACGTAGAACGTCAATCGATGTTTATCGACGAACTCCTAAAATGTTAAAATGATCACTTTAGCCGCTCTTCTTCCGTGGAAATTCGACTAAAGTGCATCGGTCTAACGAAAACAACTCTCCGATACTTGGTACTAGTGGTGAAAAGATGCCGCCTAGTACTTCAGCTGCGCTGTTGTAGCATTTTATTTCTCTAGTTTCCCAACAGAATAGAGTAAAAGATTTTCAAATGTACCCTATCAAAAACCTAGCATTTATACATTTCAAAATGATAAC